GTTTGAATGACAGTCAGCCAAACACATAAAACAAAACTATATGAAACGCTCGATCTATGTGTGTATAGGCAAAGGGCATGGTCTTTGCTTGAAGCTTAGCTTTCGCAGCATTGACCAGAGCATCGCGCAAGCTCATGAACGTCCCAGGCGCCACAGGAGAAGCCGCCGCTGGTGAGGAGGCTGCGCTCCCCTCACCAAACTCAAAAGCCGCCTTTCTTTCAAGACCAGCTGGCCTTGTCTCCTCAGCCAGCTGCGTGTTCAGCTGGCTGCCCACTGGCTCAGAGTCCAGTGGCTGCACCAACTGCGTGTCCACTGGCTGGGAGTCCGAGTCCACTGGCTGGGAGTCCACTGGCTGGGAGTCCACTGGCTGGGAGTCCACTGGCTGGGAGTCCACTGGCTGGGAGCCAACTGGCTGGGAGTCCACTGGCTGGGAGTCCACTGGCTGGGAGTGCACCGGCTGGGAGTCCACCAGCTGGGAGTCCACCAAGTCCACCGGGTCGGGGTCCTGCTGCTCGGCCACATAGGGATCTTGCTCAGCGTCCGCCTCGCCATCAGCCATCACTTCCCCGGCGTCCATCCCGTTCTTAGCAGGCAGCTGAAACAAGTTTGAGACCCTGCCCACCACCACTGCGAACGCACGAGCATTAACATGCCACGCGCGTGTACGCCACACGTCTGCGCACATGTGCATGCATGCATGCTATGTCGTCAGCCGTGAGGGTTTTTCGAAGTTTCACAACCCAAAAAACCATGCAGCAATTTTGGGAATTAAACTCGATAAAACTTTCCTCGATCTTCTTGCATCGAGCTATATATGGATCGATGAAGAATGGGTCCCTCAATTATTCGAGTTCAGGTCGATTTGAAGCGTCTGAGCCTCCGGTGGAATGAGAAGCGTGGCTACTGAGCCAGTGCCCGTGATGGCTACACATGCCCGGGCTAGGTTGCAGTCAGTGCAACATGATCTACAGCGCCCGCTTTGACGCCATGAAGATCAAACATGGGCCCTCGCTGATGATCGGGCTCAGCCCATACTCGGGCGGCGAGCTATGGGTCTCATGGAGGAGGGGGGCGACCAGCCACCACGAGGATGATACAGCTGCCGGCGCTGGATTCTCTTAAGTTATTAGGGTCGATCAGCATATGTTTGAAAACTTTTGGGGTCTGTGTAGGGTTGAGGGTTGAAACTTATCGGGGGGGGGGGTTGTTTAGGGTTGAAAACATAAATACATACTGCTCACAGACTTGTTGTGTTCCGATCCTTTGCTGGAGCCTTGTTTTGGGAAGGGGCTTTCTATATATCCAATTGGTTTATAAGATTGGTTGATTTTGCATTGCCGAAGCCTCCTTTTGAGAATGGATGTTGGTTTTCAATACAGTTTAGTATCGCCTCCTTTTAGATTGGTATTGGTGAATTCGAGTTCTCAGTTGATCCTTGTTTGATTTTGTTTTGGGGGGGGGTCCAGGAATCTCTATTTAGGGGGGGGGGGCATGTAAAATGTCCTTTTCCAACCCCCTATACATGCACCCTTTGTGCCAGGTTGCTTAGGGGCCTTTTTTGAACAAAGGCATGACTGGCAGCTTGGGAGCTGGGATTGCTTTAATTGAGATACTCAAAAGCTAGATGTTGGAGATCATTTTGGGCAAGCTTCAGTTAAGGGAAATACATGCATGTAAAACCGAGTCTTGTGAAAGACAGCCTTCTCAAATAGGGGTAAAGCGATCGGATGACCTTCTTTCTTTGTGGGGGGGGGACCAGGAATCTCAATTTAGACATGCATGCCTGTTTTTCCCAACCCGAAGTCACCGTTTGTATATAGGGTTGATTAGGGATCGATCACTTTTTAAACGAGAACACGCATGTAAGAATTTGCAGTTTGGGAGCTGAAAGTGCTCTATAGGAGTTATATAGATGTGTGAGATCATACGGGGCAAGCTGCAACTAAGGGACATACCTTAATTCCAAAGAATGTGCCTTTTACAACTAAGCTTTAATTCTCAATTAATAGGAGTTGCATTCTTTTAGGAGGGAACCAGGATCAAAACTTTGGCCAGCTTGACACTTTGTTCAGATCATTTTCCCATCACCGGTTTTGGAACAAACTCTTTTTCAGGGGCCCTAATCATGCAGCGCATGCTGACCAACAGCACAATTTAATTCAGGGGAGGTTTTTGCATATAGGCGCATGCATGGACATCACTGCACATGGATGCACGAAATCCTGCACCAATTTAGAAACCCTGGAATGATGATTTTCCTATATAGCTGTATAGGCATTTGTCGGTGAATCCCCATGCATGCATGGTTTCAAAGTGGTGCAGGCTTCTGTGATTAGAACTTCGTATAAGTTAGATTGGAACCCTGTTTGGGGGAGGGAAGAGGCTTGGGGTCGGCGGGCGGGCTACGTTCAGTCGTTGACCCGCACCCCAAAGAACATTGGTGTATCCGGTTCCATGTGGACAGTGGCAATTTCCGAGCACATATACAAATATTCCTCATAAGCACAAACATGTCCACGCGCACGTGCTCAATATTCAATATTGCATGCACCAGCGCACACTCACATGCAGGTCGACATGTGCGCCTGCAAGCAAACGCATCACGCAAAAGCACATGCACAAACTAACACGCGCACATGCTGAAAGGAACACGGTTGTTTTAGTGCATGACCAATCAACTGAAATTAATGTTAAGGGACTGAAAAGTCTGTTGACTGGATCTGTACAGACAAGGCTCGGCCAAGGCCTGTGCGAAGGCAGCGTGGTAGTGCTGGACCAAAGCAGCAACCAGCGGGTCCTTCGGACACGCGACATCACAATTAAGGTTTGTTCGACCTAGCTTTTCCTTTATGATCGAGGCAATCGGGATTTAAAAAACGCATCACGAAAAACAGACCCAGCAAGACAAGTTGCCCGAGGAGTTTCGGATCGCTGAAACTTCTTTCGCAGCGTAGTGAGGCACCGTTTAATCGCCCAAGCATCTTGGTGAGCCAAAGTAGGCAGCACATGCGCTTGCGGAAAATGGGCAGCAACATAGAAATCCATGACGGTGGTACTCAGAGCATCCATAGCTGGCGCCTTGATCGTGCCCTGTTGCGCCATGTTCTTCACGATCTTGACCAAAACACTGTGGTTAATCTTGATGTTACCAATTGTTCCCATCACCGGCCCCGCCCCGCCGCCAGCTACCATCAAACACCCTCCGCTTGCGCATCGCTGGCGGAGAGTTCGGTCACCCTCCCACTCCTCGCAAACCCCAACCAAAAGGCGAGCCATTGCCTGCCCGCGCACTCCAAATGCAATCACGTTGATCCAAAATGGCACTTAGGAGAGGGCAGCTTGCATGCGTACGCATGCTCAATACCGGATGCAACATGATCGAGCTGTAGGACATATGTTAATTATTTAACATACATGCATGACGCGTACGTAAATATAAACGTACAGTTCCCCGCCATCACATACTAGCTATAGAGCTTGCATTTTAACTTCCACCGCTTCCCGACCCGATCCAGAAACCCGCCTTCACCACATCGATCAGAGTTTGCTCAGCTCCGCCAGGCAGGCGGGTTGGACCTGGCGGGCCGACTGACGTGAGGGCAGCCGAGCATGGTAGGCGCGAAGCGTGCCAGGCTGGCCAAAGAGGGGTGAGCTCTCAAAGAAGCCATGGCAAGCGAAAGCACGTGTGTGCATCGATCGGTGAACCCTGCATGAAAACATGCAACTAAGTGATTGGCAATTGAAACGTTTGATGGGGTGCCTGCATGCAAAGGTTTCTTTGGCCTCGCGGGTTTCCACGCATGATTGCTGGCTCCATCGGAAAAAACATGCAGCCGCTTCTTGATCCGCAGCAGCAGTTGATCGGCATGGTTAAGTTGACCTGGCGGCACAGAATGGGGGCGAATACCCCCAAGTTCAGTAAGACCCCCATGTTGCTAACCCAGTTTGTGATTTGCATGCCCGGACACCCTCGAAATGCTCAATTGATCAAATTTCAGGTCGTATGTGGCTTTTGAGCAAAATAATGGTCGTTTGGCCGGGGGGAAGGAATAACCTGTTTTTTTTGAAACAGCCTGAAATCGAGCAGCCTTTGGAGGCTGCAGGTGTATATATATATATGTATATGTATATTGCGTGCAACTGTTTTTGAGGCAACTGTAAGTAACAAGTTGGGCACTGAACAACCCTCTCCACAGCTCCAAAGTCACCCTGCAAGCTGCACCCTGTGGCCGTGTCCCAAGTTTCTGACATGGAACAAGAGGGTCGGACTACAAATTGGACAGGTGTGCTTTCCTACCACGTGGCAAACATAACATTATTAAAACAAATAGTAGTGACAGGCTCTGGGTGGACCATAGACTGCTGACTCATATCCAAGTGGGCCTACCGGCTGTTGAAATGGGTGGGAACCGGTTGAAACACAGTCCGAGGCTCGGCCACATATTGCAGGAGAGAGACTTGGGAAGCCTATTGCAAACTCAAGCCTTACTAATTAAATGTCTTCCTTAAGAAAGAACACGGGTCTTTAAGCAACCCAGAAGTGATGCTGAACACCATGAACATGTCAATGCCCTTGTGTTGGTTGATCCTAAGGATCTCTCCCAAGACAACGAGCAAGGAACGTGGAAATCGCTGGCGACCAAGCAGGCGAAAGCATTTGAACGCCTTATCTGGGTCTGCCCGTGATGTTTCTCCGGAAATTCCTGGGGAGCCCCGGACCCGAAAGCTCAAGCCAAGCCAGGGGCCAAGAAACGATCTTGGGGGGCTGGAAAACAAGAACCAACCACCAAACAAACAAAACAACAACACAAACAGTACAAACAGACCAAAACCCATTAAACACAAACACAACCAAACAAACACAACCAGTGCATCCCACTTTCCCACTCTCAGAAAGGAAAAAAACAACGCAAAAACAAAAACCAAACAAAACACCAAAAAGGAAAAAAAAAAAACGACGGATCGACTGAAAGAGCGGTTTTTTTTTCGCCCCAGGGCGCCGCTTCAGGGCCATGAGCCCAAAGGTCTGCAGCACCGCGGCGACCCCCGGGTGCTCCGCGGAGCCGTTCTCCCGGCGGTTGATGTGCAGCGCCCACTCCAGGCACCGCAAGGCCGTGGCCGAGTCGCCCGCGTCCTCGAAATGGGTTCGGAGTTGCCCGGAGCTGCCCAGGTAGTGAATCAACGCGGCCAGACTTCAAGCCAGCTCTTGTGTGGGGAAAAATGAGATCCATCCCCTGAGATTCAGTCTACCCCAAGGTAGACAAAAAGAGGAACCCTGGTTTTTGTGGACTGAGACATGCTGGTAGGCTACCTTTGAGCCATGGGTAGTGAATCCACCCCCCAGGGGTCGGTCCCTTTTGGGGTTGGAGGTCCTCGTGCGCGGTAGAGTTCAACCCAGGTTTTTTGTGTTTTGGTTTGGGGGAGGGGAAATGACATTCCACTGGTTTAAGTCTACCCCAGACAAAAGGTGGGGCCCTGGGATTTTGTGGAACCACTCCACAATCACCATATTGCCACTGTGAAAAGCTCAGTCGTCCCTTCGGGACCCAGAAAATACCAGGTTGGCCTTTTGGCACCATAAATGGACCAAACTTGGGACGGCAGAAGCTGAAAAGGTCAGTAGATATCTTCCTTTTTCGCCGCTGGGGTGGTGGAGGTTTTCGGATGGAAGCCAGATGGGGGTTGTTGTCAATAGGAACACTTCGTCGGTGAGGATCGAGGTGGCTTTGGAGTCGAACCAGGAACTGGGAGAAAAACCAATGGTCCTCACCGTTTAGCCTTCGAGGTCGACTCAAACTTAAGATCAGCCCGGCAAGTCCCCGTGCAAATGCCAAGCAAGAAGACGAGAACCAAGGGTTGACACTGGGTTAGCAACATGATTCCAGCAACATCCAGGTTTCTCCACGGAGTTCGCCTGAGCCCTACCTTCTGCCCCCTGTGAAACTAACCACTCGCCAAGCTGCGCAGGGTGCGACCCGGCTGGGGTTAACATTGGCAATGGCTTCAATCTATTATATAATATGAGCCCGAAACGGGGCCCAAGTCGTTTTAGCACGAACCTCTCATTCGGTGTTTTCCATGCAACGTGCTACTCTTGTTGCCCTATTGTTTGGGGAAGACAACAAGTACACCCATTGTTTGGTTACCAGGCAGGAATCCACACACAAACAAGCAAACCACGCAACAACTCACCTATCAACGAACACATTCATCAACCAATCTATGAACCGACCAATCTATCAAACAACCAAGCCATTGACCGACCAATCCAACAACCAACCTATCCAAACAAAACAATTCATTAACCAACCAATCTACCAATCAACCGATGTATCAACCAACCAAACCATTAACAGACCAACCAACACACAACCAATCCATCAACCAACCAATCTATCAATGAACGTATCCTACAGCCAACCAATCCATGGACCGACCAATCTATGAAGTAATTTATTTAAACAAATCACTGCATTAACCAAGGAATCTATCAACCGACCAATCCATTAACCAAACAATCCAACAACCAACCAATCCATCAACCAACCAATCTATCAACGAACGTATTCTACAACCAACTAATCCATGGACCGACCAATCTATGAAGCAACGTATCCAAACAAACCGATGCATTAACTAAGGAATCTGTCAACCCGACCAATCCATTAACCAACCAATCCAACAACCAACCACTCCATCAACCAACCAATCTATCAATGAACGTATCCTACAACCAACTAATCCATGGACCGACCAATGTATGAAGCAACCTTCCAAACAAACCGATGCATTAACCAAGGAATCTGTCAACCGACCAATCCACTAACTAACCAATCCAACAACCAATCAATCCATCAACCAACCAATTCACACATCCATCAACCAATCCATTGACCCAACATATCTAGGTCTTCCAGTAGAGAGGTTAGAATAAGGGTCCCTCCCCCAAAACAAGTGCAAAAAGGGCACTACTGGGGGGCCTAGGTATACTTCAATGGATCTCAATTTTCCACTGCTTTACTCCCATGCGATGTTCCACCCCTTCGACTCGAGCGAACCAGCGAACCTCGCAGGCCGTTGCGAAGCGGTACATCTCTCCAGCCACGACGATCTTCGTCACCTGGCTGTGGCTCAAACATAGGGTACTTACATTATTCACCTGAACATTGCCTTGTACATGGTGGTTTCCCTTTATTTTGGTGGAAGAAGCCATGTTTCAAATGGGCCAAATGGAGATCTTTTTTAAGGAGCCCTGCTAAAACCTGCGGTTTCCTGGTGGATTTTTTGACCCGAGAGCCCACCTCCTGGCCGCCAGAGAGCACGTTCTCGATGGAGAGGCACTCCATCCTAAGCTGAGGCCAGATTTTTGTTGCCCGCGTGGATCCACGGAAAAGGGATAATTTTTAAATAAAACCAAAAAATATTATTTTAATGAATTTATTAAAGCATGTGTTTCTTCTTCCTTTTTGAATAAACATAAATTATCTGCAGGAATTACTTCTGACCAGGGCTGTGGTTGGAATGACCACTGTGATACAACAGAAAGGGCTTCCCAAAGACTATTTCCTTCATATAAAGGGAGATTCCCTTGCATCACAGAAGTCGGGAGAAACCCCTTGATCCCACAACCCTGCTTCTGACTCACAGCAGAAGGTGAATTGGCCCCAGCCCATTTTGAACATTGGACTTTGAGTTCTCAAAAGTGTGATGGCTGGAGGGTCTTCCAGTTGGCGCGGTTCCTCTCTTTTTTTGGCACTCCCTCTCCAGACTGACACGAGTGACCCTGCGCCTGACTGACCGACCAATCACCCAACCACTGAGTCAATGCTATTTTCCCAGCCACTGGGGAAACAACTAAGTCCCAAATGGCTGCATCTGAAACAACAACTTTAGGACTGATCACTGCCCAAGAGTCTTGGCCCAAGACAAAGAAACAACCTAGCTGTTGTTTTACACCAAGTGCGCAAGACTGAAACTTGGCCCGGGCCCCAGTTCACCAGCTCACCAGTTCACCTCTGCAAAGCCGTGGGCGGAATCCGAACCTTTTCATGGTATGACTTGCGGGTCAACCGCACAACCCGTGGCTTAACCCCTGCCGAACCGCCGAGCCAGGACTCCGTCTCACGATGGCAAAAACCCCACGGGCATGGGTCAAGAACGGTTCTGGCGAAGTCGCCTATGGTTGGGGGCTCACCTGAAATCCCCCAAAATGGCATGGCACGGGCCCAAGATCCTTTTTCGGGCCCAGATTTGGCTTGGGTCTCATTCATGAGGGCCGATCTAGCGCCGGAGTCGCCGGATGTGTACCGGAGCTGGGTCAAAACTAGGGGGTCACACCAAAAAATCAAGGTCCAACTCAAGCGCAACAGCCCGGCGAGCTTCCAGTAGGTCTCGGCCTCCTCCATGTGCCCCGCCTTGCAGCAGGTTTGGCCCAACACCCGCAGCGTCCTGGCAGGCCGCGAGCGGCGTGCCCTGCCACCAATTCATGTTGCCCCCATATGAATCAACCCCCTATAGACCACTGTTAAACTGGACTTAGCTTGATTTTGCTTAACCCCCCAGTCTATGGCGATTCTTACGGGTTTCCGGCTCCAATTGAGGTAGGCTGACCTTAGTGACATTTACTGACCTTAGTTCCTAGGGCGGGGATCGGGATCCATCTGGAGGTAGGTTGGAGACCTGTGGGTGAACAAAATCCTCTTAGGCACCGTTCAGAAACCCCGGTTTCTGATTCGATTCCCCTGCAAATATCAACAAACCATGGTTTCAACCATGGTTTCATTTCGTGGTGCGAAATGGATTTCGGAACCATCCACGGTGGTGTTCCCCTCCACTGAGTCCAGGTGCACCCCCCGAGTTTTTCAACCGGGGGGTTGATTATTATGGAGGCAACATTAACCAACCGGAACCCTTCACCTTGGTTGACGTTGGGTTTGGGGACCAACAAATCTCAAATTTTAGCAGTTAAGTTGCGATTTCAACCACTAAACCACAATAAGCAAAAATGTTTCAAATGTTTCCCAACAACAACCATGGCTCGAAGTTCCGGCAACGGTCTTGGTTTGGACCATTCTCCTATTAGAGGGACCAGGTCCCGAACCTCAGGTTCCATGAAGGAAGAAAGGTGGGATTGTTCTGAGTCCTAGAAATTGCAGTTGGTGAACAACAAAACATCTGCAGTCCGTGACCGGTCGAACCGCCATAACGGAAGCCGTTGAACGAGCAATAACTCCAAAAGCCATGTGTCCACGTCCGCCCTGCTTTGTGTCGGCATGTCTGTAAAGAATGCAAATAATCCGCTTGTGGCTGTCAAGTATCGCTGCATTGAGCATGCGGCTGGATAGTGTTGATTCGTTGATGATTGACTCCGACTAAACATTTCTGTCCCAACCATTGCCCAAGGCACGTCAACAAGAATAACGTTAACCCCTCAACGAATGAATTGCAACTTGGTCGTTGCCACCCCTGCCCAGCAGGGAACCAACAGGGGAACCAAACATCTCCAATATTTTATCCCAAGCTTGTGCGGTGTTGACAAACAACCACGGGCAGCCAAGGTACCACTCAAACGAGCAACCTCCAAAGGTAGACACGCAGGGGCCTTTCTGGTGGCTGCAGAACTCGAATTCCATTCAGCTGCACACATCCGTATGGCGCGGGTCCCTACCAGTGAATGTCCGGCTTTGGGGCTTGGGGGTTGGGCCTTTTGGTCCCTTGGTCCTCGCTTGCAAGAGCTCAGTCTTCGGCAGCGAGCGGGTCATTTCCAGAGACTCCTCCGAGACCCAGCAGTCACATCTTGTTGAGCCCTCTGCGAAAAAGTTTCTCACTTTTTGTGGGTTTGGTGGAAAACCTCTTGATTTCAACCAACAAGTGAAAGTCTAAAGATCCAAATAGCAGTCAAGACCTGCGACGCCGGTCAGTGCGACCCCATGGCCCCATGACGCCAAGAGCCAAAAGGGCCACCAAGAACTTGGAAGCCCTCGACGACGTGTTTCTCAACCCACCAGCTTATCTAGGTCCTCCAGTAGAGACGTTAGAATAAGGGTACCAACTTTTTTCTTTTGTAGTCTATTCTAGTAGGGGAACCCACCCCCCAAAAAGGGTAAACGAGCACTACTGGGGGGGGGGGGGGGGCTCTTCTCCCTGGTGAAATGTGGGGAATCAGACCAGTCCCGAAGGGAACCCCCCCTAACACATAAGCTGGGGTTGATTACTATGGGGTCAATATTATACCAGAACCCCAGCGACAATGGGAGGAAAGGCCACTCTGTTTGTTGGTTGGTTGATCAAAAAGCAGACTGGGTGAGTGTGCCTTGTCTCACCCCTTTTGCAGCAGTACATGATCACATGTTCGCCCTTTCTCGACCTGCGAAGTTTTGTTTTCCTTGGGGTCTCGGATCTTCCCGAATCGAAGAACCTGCTACTCAGCCATAAGCGAACGTGTCTGCACCATGTGGCTGTGGGTCAAAACCAATGGGACCATTTGGGGCAGGTGCACCACCCAATTTGGTCTATAGTGGGGATTGGGACGTTCACCGGTACGGCTTTTGACCCATGGCCATGTGAGCCGTGGAGTGGCCCAAAACTTCGACGAGCTCCTCGAGGACCCCAAGTCCCCGGCTCCAAAGCGCCCCGAATCGACCCTCCATGGAAGGGTGGCTCAACAGGCCCATGGCGCCCAGGTGAACCCGTCCCCCCGGTCTCCCCCCGGTCCTTGAGGCTCTCTTCGCCGGCCTGGAAGTTGCCCCTGTCCGCATGGACCTGGCGTCTGGCTCATGGCTCATGGCTCAAACCCGCTGATTCTGTCAAATCTTTCACCAGACCGAGCTGAAATCTGAAACGTCTGAAAAAGGCTTAATGGCTCACACATGGCTGATTGCAGGCCCGAATGTGCGACTCATGGCGGCTTTGTTCCAAGCTGGTCCCTGAAAAGCCTGATTTGACACATAAATAAAAATGGATCAGCACAACAGGAACATAGTCATTCCATGTAACAGCAGTAGTATATCATATGTCTCAAGTTTAATGTCTTTCGACTTGCGTATCGCAGAAAGAGTCAAAATGGAACAGCTGGAAGCTGACCTGGGTTGAACCAGCTGAAGGCAATGAGAAGAGTGAAACTAGGTCCTCCAGTAGAGAGGTTAGCATAAGGGTACCAACTTCTTTCTTTTCTGTCTATTTTACTAGGGGAACCCTCCCCCAAAAAAAGGTAAAAGGGCACCTTGGGGACCTAGGAAAAGCTCAAATTAAACTTCTCCAACTGACTTTGCCGGGAACTCGGGGACGAAACCCAGGAACCCCGCTCACGCTGTCGAATGAGTCCCTTAAACGGCCCAAGCAAAACAGCCGAGAGCGCCAACAGAGGCTGCAACAAGGCAAGCAATGGGCATATTGCAGGTTCCTACAGAAATAACACCCCACCCTTTGACCACCTGTGACCTGGTGTCATGGGTCGGTACAAAGATGCGCATCCCCGTATGCACCTCATGCTGATTTCTTTCAACTTCGCGGGAAGAAAAAAAGGGTTACGTCTAAGATACCACCCTTCCTTCCAATAACATAGCATGTGCGGGAGAAGAACAGTTTCCACTTGAAGGTACCCCCTGCCAGGTGCCGCGAAAACAAGCTCGTTGATTTATTTGGTGCCGACAGCCTTGCCCAGCTCGTGCAAGGTGTCCGCAAAGCACTGGTCGCTGTTCTTCTCCACCGCGCGCCAAATCCGCACGGATTCCTGGAAGACAGGAGTTTCCAACAACCAGGCAACCAACAGTAATGCTCAAAACTGCCGTGGTTGGATGCTCCCTGGTCCCCACGGCTGCTGCAATTTGTGAGATGCCGAAGTGGCCCATTGATATGACTGCTTTGTCACTGTGAGGGGGGATTCTGGTAGGGGGGGATCCCCAATCCCAATCCCTAATCCGGAATGGTGGTCCCACTCAACAAATCATCACATAGGGGTGAAATGTCTCCTTTGGCTCTATGTTGGGTTCTCCCTGGAAAAGTGACCCTTTATAAAACTTGATGTGCTTTTTGTTGTTATAGGGGATCCCAACAAATTGTGGGGTCGCCTTTGGTTTCCCTTTAAAACCAAGGGGCTACCGACCCATGTGGGGGTTGATCAATATTCCAATCGTTCGGCCCCAAAATGAAAGTCGAAACTTTTTGTTTGGGTGGTGTCCAACTACTGGTCAGCCCATTTATCACGGACCTTTTGATCAAACAGTTCCTATAAACAAAGTTCCTTTTGGTGTCCCTTTAAACCCACAAACAAAGCAAGTGCTACCAACTCCAAAAAGAACCGACCGAGCCATGGCGAGAAAAAACAAAAACACAACGAAATCCTGCAGCACTTAAGAAACCCTAGTTTCCGGCGATTCCCCTGTAAATACCAACGAACCATGGTTTCAACCATGGTTTCACAGTGGTGCGAGCGGATTTCGCAACCCTCCAACGTAGGGCGGGGAAAAAAACAATTCCTGTTGGTGTCCCTTCAAAACAACCAACAAAGCAGGTGCTACCAACTCCAAGCAAAAACAAACCGACCGACCCGTGGCAAAAGCCGACACCACGCGTCCGAAAAATCGCCGCGCCGAATTCGTCCTCCAGGACCAAACCAATTCTAAAGTAGGTATTTCAAATCCAGCCCCACTATGTCGACAATTCGACGAATTCGTCGAATTCGTCCTCCAGCAAATGGTGTTTTGTGTTGGTTTCCCTTAAAACCACAAGACAGGCGCTACCCTCAAAGAAAAGCCGACCACATCGAAAAAATCGACGCATCGCGTCCTCCAGGACCTGGAGAGCTTTGTCCAGGTCCCCCTGCTGGCGATGCAGCAGGCCCAGGTGCCCCAGCGCCCCCGCCAGCTCGTTGCACTGGTTGTCCGGGTGCAGCTGCCGATGCATCTGCCTAAGGAAACGAAACCAGGTCCTCCAGTAGAGAGGTTAGAATAAGGGGTACCAACTTTTTGGGTAAGGCCCCAGGAAAAACTAAACATATGTCCAGTAGTGAGGAATTCTTTTTAAAACCAACAAGGGAAGGTAAAAAAAAAAAAAACACACAAGGAAAAACCTATTCTCAAGCGAATGAAGGCCAAGGAAACGAAACCGACGCCTGGTGCCTTCTTAGAACATCAACTTCAGTTGAGACACAATCAACTGGGTCCTCCAGTGGAGGGGTTAGAATCAGGGTACCAACTTTTTCGGTTTTGTCTATTTTAGGGGAACCCAAAACCCCGAGAAAGGGGTGAGAGAGCGGGCACCAATTGCTGGACCAATTGGAAACCAAACACCCGGTGCTTTCCTTTTTTGGAACTAATCATGGGGGCTGGGGGGCAACAAAGTAAACAAGCCCCCGTTTTCGAGACCCGAATATCCCTCCCAACCCCCTTCCCTCCCCCCCAGCCCCCATGTACCAAACCTCAGTAAACCCGGTGTCAAACTGGTCTACCCATTTACATTGCAAAAGAATTCAAAGGTAGGCTTTGGACAACGGATGAACCAAACCAAGTACAGTTGAAACTCTAGATGTTGTAGTAACAAGGAAAGTAAATTAGAGTCAACACAACATGTAAGTTTGGCTTACGTGTGACATTCAGGGAATGCAGCATTGTTAAAACTCCCTCGGCTCAGACCGACGGTTCCCACAGATGTTTTGTGCAAAGGGCAAATGACCTGTGAACCTCGAAAATCCGAAGATGTTCTGCCCGAGGCAGTAGTCAAAGCTCCCTCCCTCTGATCAGGATAGGAACCCATATCTTCAGTCGAGGGCTTGGGACGCGTTCCTTGTGGGAGCAACATGCCGAAGTGCCACTCTACGAAGCCATGGCCATCTTGGGCCAAGAGCCTAGATTCCCATGATGAAGCAATCAAGAATGGTGGTATATTTCTTTTCTTCTTCATACATTGCCAAGGTATTCATTTCATTTCCTTTCAAAAAGTCCATTGTTTTCCCGAATTGGGTCTTTTGCAGTATTGAGCAAGGGTTCCTCTTTGTGCCGTTTTGTGTCCCACATGCAAACAGCAAGAAGAGTCGCTTTGAAATCACTGTTGCATGCAAGGCAACAAACATTCCTGAACCAGGAAACCCAAGGCTCGCCAAACCTCTATTCAAGCAGTTCTCGAGGTTTGGTCATCTTGTAGCTCGAAGCAATCAAATTTGCAAGGGAGACAGTACAAGTCTTGGTTGCTGTTGACCCCCCCTGCAAAAAGTTTAACTTTTTGGGGGTTCAGTGGAAAACCCCTTGATTTCCCAAAAAGTTAAAGTCTAAAGATCCAACCGAATAGCAGTCTAGAAGTAAAAGAAACAACCACGCTAATTTAAATCAGCTTGATTGAGGAGTGCAGACGCGAGGCCTTCTATTGAGGCCAAAACCCAACGTGTTTCTGCTTGGGGGTTGGTGGGGGAGGGAGTTGGCGAAAAACAAAGAGGCTGTGCAGTTCAAGTCGAGTTGAAATCGTTTAGAACACATGCTGATATGCCTGGGCTGTCCTCAGATTTCCTGCCAAAGGTTTAACTTTTAGCGGGGGGGGGGGGGGGGTTAGATTCGGAAACCCGACCACTGAACCAACAAAAAAATCTAAACACCTAAGGCACCAGATGGCCGGAAACCACCAAAATACCAACCGTTTTAGTCATTTGTAGTTCTGCTCTTGACAACACTGGCCCATTGCTAACAGAGTTGTTAGAGGCAACGATACACTAAAAGTTTACGAACATGTCATACATGCCCAAGAAGGAATATATATATATATATCACATGTCGCCGGGTCATGTTGCCCAATCGACATAGTCAGCTTGCCATCTTGGAGCGTGGCACTCGAACCCCTTCAGCTTTCATTCACAGGGCTGAGCCAGCTGAGGCGCACAGATTCTTCGTGGGCCCGCTTGGCCGCATGGATCTCACCCCCGTGGTTCAAGATGCGCCCGAGCCTCTTGCAAGCAAATCCAAGGAAGCAAAGGACCCTGAGCCTCTCTAAGATGGGTTCCACGAACCTCCAAACAACTATCTAGAAAACGTGTTAGCTGCATTCTTTTTGTGGTTTTCACCGGGTTCTTCCACCTTTTGGTCCTTTTTAGACATGGTTTAGTACTCTGTTCATGTCCTGTTCTCTAGAAACCAATCTCAGGGTTTCATGGGATACATGATCTCTTGAATATATGGTGGCTACACAGTGGCTGTACATCCGAGCTGAGAGCTTCGGTTTGGGGGTGGAAACCATCTTAGATGATCTGCTAAAGCAACTTGCCACCATGCCGGCACTGCTCGAGAGGCGTGTGACCTCAAAAAGACAACCTATGCCGCCTCAAATAGGCAGACCCAAGGCCCGGTGTGCCAGCCTCTTGACACTGATTTGGTGTCAACCAGTCTCAACATGTTACCCAGCTTCATTTGCTTACCAAACACAATTATATACACACTATTGTATAGATTGCTCTGTTCCGGGAGTTGACCTCTTTCCTCCCAGATGTGCGCAGAAATTCTGCCTTGCCAGGGAGAATCAGTGAAGAGTTGGAGAAGATTGGAACTGACTCCAAGACTTCCGTCAGAAGGCCTTGGCCTCCAAAGTCACGGATGCGAAGATCGAGGTCTATCTATGGCCCAATGAAGAGGGATTCTTCACGAGGCAAGTCTCGTGGAAAGTCACCTAGCCCACCACCAGCTCGTGCAAACCAACGCAGCTCCTGCTGTATGTTGACCATGACTGCCAAAGGGTGACCATCAGTTGCTCCATCGGACCCCGATCCCTGTCTCAACCAAAAAGAGGGGGATCAACAGTAGCTCATTTGCTCATCGCCCAAGCAAAGATGTCCACAGGTCATCCGCACCAATCACCGAAGGAGACGAGATGGTTCCCCATGCACAAGGAAAGAGCCTAATCAGCTTCCGAGATTCTTGGGAAGATACGGGTGTGTCTTTGTTTCGGGCACCCCCAAAATGGAATTTGATTATTTTCCTTTACACCCCCCAACAGCGGGTAGGGGGGTAAACCCACAAGAAAGACAGAGCCATACCCCACACCGCCCGATAAGGGCCCTCGGTGAAGCCAAGAAGCTTCGTGAGTTCCATGGCCGTCTCCACGTGGGGCGTTGCCTCCCCCAGCCGCTCGCGGCACTTCCTGGGCGCATGCCAGCTTGGGGGTCGGAAGGCCAAAGGAGCGACGGAGGAGTTTCTGAGAGCCCCGTTTGAAGCAGCCAAGCTGAGTCACCCAGAGTAAAAGTCCCTACTGGGCTGTCCGTTTTCAGACCCCGGTTGCGCGGCGCGAGTCTCGCTTGGTCAACATTGGAAACATCCAGCCAAGGCAAGCCAACAGGATCTAAATCGCTGACGAAGCGATCTACTTGTGGATAGCTTCGAACACCCAACCACTAGACCTATAAAGAGATCTCAAAACCTAAGGCACCGGATGGCTTTTGGAACCACCAGGATAATAAACCACAAACAACTTCTTGTTGCTGGTGCCCTAGGCTCATGCTTGGGGGGAACGACCCACCAAGGACACTGCACCCCCGTCTCCCGTCCCGAAGAATTTTCGCCGCAGGCGTCCGCACGTTCTCCTGCGCCTCAGCCTTCTTCGTCTCGTAGTCCTTGAGCTGCTTGTCGATGCGACCCAACTCGAAAAGCACCTGAGATGCCGGCAACGCAAGATTTCTTTCTCGCTGGGGAGCACCAGTATGGCATGAGGAATGGAACGACCCCAAGAAAACTTTCCTTTGTGGTTCGTGCACGCTTCATTTTTCTTCTCGCTGCTCCTGAAGTATGGAATGAGGAATGGAATGAAGGGAAACACCTTCCCTTCTGGTTTCCCTTCTTAGGGCTCATTCCCAACACCCGGAAAGGTCATTCCCTGCGCACACTTTCAGTCTTGTTGGCTTTTTCCGGGTTCCAACGCATTCCCTGCTGAGCACCAGCTAGATATGGGGTTCATGGGGTTTGTCTGCGGCTCGCACAACGAACTTTCGGAAATGAGTGACTTCCTTCAGGTGTCCCAGCCCAAGATGGTACCCTGAAACTAGCATTCATCCAGTCAGCACAAACATACCAAATCTGACTAAAACCACAGCGGCGAGGATGGTCAATGAATTGAATATTCCGGAGACGGAAGTATCTATCTCCTCAGTGAGTTCGAAGACTTCCTCCGCCCAGAACACAAAGCCGTTGGCTTGCTTTGCACAGCTTCCACTCGGGAAGGCTTGTAGGCGCAACAGTATTTGCGTGGGCCTGGGAGAATTTGCATTCGCGGGGATGCGGTGCAAGCGTGGATGCCCAAACACTCCCAGCAAAGGAAACCATGGCTTCAATGTGGCCCCCAAAAGTATGCAACCACATCACTTGTTTGTCTGACTGGCTCCAAAAACCATCCTCTCACCTCTTCCCCCCGCAAAAATGAAAAAAACAAAAACACTCCGCCGGCTTCTTCGTCTCCTTAACCCCCACCCCCAAACTTCCCGGCGTCTTCGTCCCGCGAGGCGCGGGCGTGAGCTCGGGGTGGCCCTTGTGCTGGGCCGTGAGCTCCCGGAGGCGGACCAGCAGCAGGTCCCGGGCCTTGAGCTGGTCCAGCAGCCCCACCTCCATCCCTCGGAGCCGAAATCGACCGATCCGCCATCGATCCGCCGATCGGCGCGGGGGCGGGAGATCGGGGGCGGGAGAGCGGGGTGGCCCGCCGGCTGGCGAACCTCGCACGGAGAAGCGAAGTCTGGGGCCACCGACTGGGGGGGGGGGGAAAGGTCTGGGGTGGTGCGGGGGGGGGGTGGGAAGAAACAGGATGAGAAAAAGGCTGAAAACCTTCATAATCGTTCGTATTGATTTCAAAATTTGCTTTATGGCCCGCCAAAAGGAAATCGAACACGGCTGACCCCTTTTGCCTGGGGCCAGCCCAAAAGTAGGGCCTCGCAAATGCGATTTTGGCAGTCGAAAGATGCAAAGGAACCATAAATAGAATGACCCCTAAGACAAACCATCCCTTGCTGGTGGGTTCCTTTAAGGGTACCAATGCCCGGGTTCATCCCCACATCCCTAGGCCAATCTGCATCCCTCCCCCAACTTGAAGCACGTGCTAATCAATTGACAATGAACGCTGAGCTTCCGTTTGCGTTTTCGCCCACTGGAAACACATGGAACATCATTTGCGTTTTTGACTCGAACAAATGGAACGTCCAGTCGATTCCCTTTCATACCAACAGGGGAACATCAACAGTCTTAAGCAAATGGAAACAAGGCTTTTCTTGGCGAAGCGATGTAGCCTCTTAGAACCTTCTCAGCGGGTTTCTTGACAGGGGTCTGAGAACCTTTCTGTCAAGAGAGGCCCGACGTCCGAAATGCCTGAGATTGGGCCTTGAGAAAAACACCTTGCTTAAGGGACCAGCGAGCCTCGACCAAATTTGAGCCAGCTTGCCAGAAGAATGGCCCCTACGATGAAATCCTCAAAGTGTCTTTGAAACAAAGGTGGATTTTGGGTGGTCGACTTTGTTTGCCGCGGGGTCCGTTTGGAGTCGGGAAGGGATGCATGGTTTCCAGGAAGCTTGACATCCAATTTGCTGTGTTCACCCGGTCGTTCTTTTGAACAACCAAACAAATTGTCTGGCCTCTTGGGCATCTTATGTAATTTCATGTTTGTGGAAAATGGCCTCATCCATGTTGGTTGACCAGCAATCGTCCGAATTCCTCTTATATAATTTCATGAACAACATACATGCGCACAAACATCAAACACTGGGACAGTACCAGCTGGAGTTTTGGTTGATCCGAACAGAATAGCCAGTGTTCACCCAGTGAGCATGAACATGAAGTAGCTGGAAGGATGTTTGAAAAGGCAGCGTCAGGGGCCTGAGCCAGACTTGGCCGGCGACCCGCTTTTGCCGACCCGGCTAGGTACGTAGAATCTGGAGTGTATCTAGGTCCTCCAGTAGAGAGGTCGGTCGGGTCAACATTGCATATCCTCTAAGCGTCTCATGCACTTCTCAAGTTAGCTGGATGAACCATGCACTTCTTAATTCGAGAGGTACCCTTTTAGATGATGCTTGAAAGAACATATCTGAAGCACGCCAACCAGTTGCGGTTTTGCTTTCGGGAAACACCTTCGAAATCCATATGGCTGTGGGTCAAAACCCTGTACCCCTGGTGAGCATCCCAATCCCCACCAAAAAAGACGAAAAAATGGGTGGTGCACCTACCCCAAAATGGGATCCAAAACGGTTTTGACACCCACAGCCATTTCATTCAGCCATTTCATTCACCAAATCGCTGGGAGCCTCTCCAAAAAGTTGCTTGGGATCGGAACGAATCCTCGCCAAGGGCTCCTCCCGGCAAAGGTGAGACGGCAGGTCCTCCGCAAAAGCTTCAAGCAAAGGCAAACAAGAAACGCATTTGAGTATGCAGGAAGGATCGCATCCGTTTGGCATGGGTCATACACCCTCTCAGTGACAAACTGACTGAGCGAAATTCGAGCAAGAAAGCTATACGAGGTGGGCTTAAGGCTTCCCAAACAATCCAACTTACTAGGTCCTCCACTACAGAGGATAGAAGAAGAAGGGTACCCTTTTTTCCGTAATTTATTTTAGTAGGGGAACCCAAACCCAACCAAAAAAGGGATGAGAAAGGGCACTACTGAGGGACCTAGTTAAAGTCCAGGAACTCAAGAAGTGAGATCAGCCGAGTTGCCGGTCACTTCCACCTCGAGTTGCGCAGCATCAGCTCGCCATTGGGGGCGCTGCAGACATGCACGTACGAAGCTCGCTCGCAGATGCAGATCACCCAAGCACCTTCAAACACTCAAGTACTGCGACTTGCATGAGTCTCTAAAAGCACTGAGTTTGTATCAACTGTTTTGGACCTCTGGAGAAACAACAGGTTCAGTGTTTGCTGCTCAATGACAGTGCTTTGGAACCCTCAAAGCACAGTGAGACCATCTGTGCGAAAGGCTGTGGGTTGGCCTGGTCAAGTCAGACAAGTGCTTGCGTGTCTCATTTTGCGAAGAAAGTGGCTGGCCAAAAAACAAGGTTGCGATCGTGGACCCTCTCAACTCTGCGGAGTCGTTTTGTTAAGCACCATGTGTCCGTTGCCCATGAGACAATATCTACCAGTGAAACCTGGACACAAGCACATGCGTGGCCGTGGCGAGCACACACCGAGCGTCCAAGGTAAGCTACCGCAGGCGTTCCGTGGCGCTTGACACGGGTAAGCTTACTCTTGACTAGCTTCCGACCAACTCACGATCTCTGAAAGCTAATATTCCGCTTACAGGTCTTCTGTGGTGAGTCCATGTTTGTGGGTGGGGAAGAGGGCAGCTGTTGCAGGCGGCTACAAGGTATTTCGCATGCGAAGCAAACAACTTGACAGACCTTTGTCTTGCTTGGAAGATAGAAGTGAAATATGTCTCGAGTTCGTACAATTTTGAACCAAGGGCTACACATGAGTCATGAAGAAAAAGGAACTTGTGTATATCCAATAGGATTTTCACGGGATGATGTCGCGGCTGGCAGTGCCGCGCCTCATTTCTATATCACCTCCCAAACAGCTTGCTGCAGCTGTCCAACTTGATGCTGATTCAATGAGAAAAACAAAAAGCCGCGAAGAACACAGCGCTTGCACAATTGCAAGGCTTGGTCGAGTCACTGTCGCTCTAGATGCGTCCGGCAAGGAAGTACATGAGCAAGCAACAAGCATCGTTGACTGGCTTCCAGTGCAAATTCCTCAATTAAACATGGAACCTGACAGGGGGTCCCTTTAAAAAGACAATTGTCTTCCAGGACCCCCTGTCAGGTTCCAAATTCATTGTACTTTCCAGCACCCTGTTGATCAAATGTCCAAATTGGCCAAGAGGTTTCACAGAGCGCTGGGGCCCAAGCACCTCAAGTCGCCTCAAATTTGCCAGTCAGCATATCAATAAGCAGCTATGCTCCCTAGACAAATAAAGCTAGATATACCCTATATAATCTAAAGTAGGGCCGAGCAAAATTGCTGGTTTCTTCGAAACCTCCCCTTTGGACATCTTTCGCAACACCGCCCAAACAGGGGGGTTGCTACTGCTTTTTTTTCGGGGAAACCCGAATCAAAACCCGGTATGAAACTGGTTGATCCAGAACCAGGCAAGGAAATACAAAGGCGGCCGCAGCTGTTTCTGGCTGGGATTGTCCCTAACCTTCATCTACCCGGAAACCGCCGAAGGAAACGCCGAAGAAACCGCATCTCACTTTGCCACCTTGCCTAGGTCCTCCAGTAGAGAGGTTAGAAAAAGGGTGCCAACCTTCTTCTGTAGTCTATGTTAGCATGGGAACCCTCCCCCAAAAAAAAGGGCAAAAGAGCGGGCACCCGGCTGGGGGACCTAATTAGTTGCGCTCAGCGACTCGCTGAGCCCGGCGCAGGCTTCTCAAAGTTCAGGGGTGGCCCAATGCCTTCGGTGCGATAGGGAAGGACTTTCTGAGGCTGGGTGGCGAATGAATGAATGAATGAATGAATGAATGAATGAATGAATGAATGAATGAATGAATGAATGAATGAATGAATGAATGAATGAATGAATGAATGAATGAATGAATGAATGAATGAATGAATGAATGAATGAATGAATGAATGAATGAATGAATGAATGAATGAATGAATGAATGAATGAATGAATGAATGAATGAATGAATGAATGAATGAATGAATGAATGAATGAATGAATGAATGAATGAATGAACGAACGAACGAACGAACGAACGAATGAATGAATGAATGAATGCATGAATGAATGAATGCATGAATGCATGAATGCATGAATGCATGAATGCATGAATGCATGAATGAATGAATGAATGAATGAATGAATGCATGCATGCATGAATGAATGAATTAATCAATGCATGAATGAATGGAATGAATGAATGCAGGAATGAATGAATTAATGAATGAATGCATGAGTGCATGAGTGCATGAATGCATGAATGCATAAATGCATGAGTGCATGAGTGCATGAGTGCATGAGTGCATGAGTGCATGAATGCATGCATGAATGCATGAATGCATGAATGCATGAATGCACGAATGAACGAATGCATGAATGCATGAATGCATGAATGCATAAATGCATGAGTGCATGAGTGCATGAGTGCATGAGTGCATGAATGCATGCATGAATGCATGAATGCATGAATGCATGAATGCACGAATGCACGAATGCAGGAATGCATGAATGCATGAATGCATGAATGCATGAATGCATGAATGCATGAAAGCATGAATGAATGAATGAATGAATGAATGAATGAATGAATGAATGAATGCATGAATGAATGAATGCATGAATGCATGCATGCATGCATGAATGCATGAATGCATGAATGCATGAATGCATGAATGAATGAATGAATGGCATGAATGAATGAATGAATGAATGAATGAATGAATGAATGAATGAATGAATGAATGAATGAATGAATGAATGAATGAATGAATGAATGAATGCATGAATGCATGAATGCATGAATGAATGAATGAATGCATGAATGCATGAATGCATGAATGCATGAATGCATGAATGCATGCATGCATGCATGCATGAATGAATGAATGAATGAATGAATGCATGCATGCATGCATGCATGCATGCATGAATGAATGAATGAATGAATGAATGAATGAATGAATGAATGCATGAGTGCATGAGTGCATGAGTGCATGAGTGCATGAGTGCATGAATGAATGCATGAATGCATGAATGCATGAATGCATGAATGCATGAATGCATGCATGCATGAATGAATGCATGAATGCATGAATGCATGAATGAATGAATGAATGAATGAATGAATGAATGAATGAATGAATGAATGAATGAATTAATTAATTAATGAATGAATGACTGAATGAATAGATGACTGAATGAGTGTATAATGAAACACATGAATAAATGAATCGGTTTTGGGGGATTTCCGAAGAGGAGGACACCATGGGGGATGGTTTAGAGCGGTCATTCCCTCATTCCCTGCTGAGAACCAGCCAGGAAAGGCAAAGACGGAAGGGGCCTGAATGTCCCTCCTGATCAGTCAATCGCTCCTGCTTGAATAGAAGAAGCTCAGGCGATGCAAGGGCAAGACTGGTCAGATCTGTGGCTCTTCCCACATGGCTGTGGCTCAAAAAACCGGTACCAAAATGGAACCCTGGCAAGTGGAAACATGGACCAAAACCTGCGTAACCCCTCCTGTTTAATTTGAGCCACACGCACATGAACAGCCACAGAAGTTTCGAAGGGGGCTGCCAATCTGACAGGTCCTAATGAAATCCAGTGCCATTGAAAGACTCTCGCAAAATCTGATGCTGAAAGGGCCTTTTGAGGAACCGCCCACCTCCAGCTAAGAAAGGCCCAAACTCCTTCACCGGAACTCAGTGGGTGGGCCACTGAAGAAAAAAGAAAAACCAGCCCTATGGTTCTGGCATAGTGTGATAACCGTTTAGGTCCTCCAGTAGAGAGGTTAGAATAAATAAGGGTACCAACTTGTTTTTCCTTTTTGTCTATTTTAGTAGGGGAATCCTCCCCCAAACAAGTTGGTAAAAGGGCACTACTGGGGGACCTCCGCCAACCAACTAGCACTGACCCTCACATGAAGCAAAGCCCGGCATCGGAACGTGCTGCTCCTTCACAGGCAATGTGCGCCTGACCACATGCCAACCGCACTCTTCTCAAAGGGCAAGCCCCAAAGGCAACACACAAGTCATACACTGTTCACTTGTTGATGACCTTGCACGAAAATGAAAGCACGCCCTTCACAACGGATGCTTGTACCCTGAGCTGGCCCCCCGAACACCAAGGAGAACAATGCCACCTAGATGAGAAATGCCCCCGCTATACGAAACTCGGACCCGAGTAACAACAAGGTTAGCAAGGAACCATGATGGAAATCACCTCAATTCTCGCAACTCAAACATCGAAGAGGGGGACACTTGCTGAAAACAGCTCCTTTCGTCGCTTCCCCTATGACTTCAACAACCGGCCAACAAACCTATCCCAACCTATCCACTAGCCAACAACAAACACTCAGCCAACAACCCACCCTAGCCCACCTATCCAAACACTAGCCAACAACAAACACTCACCGAAACTCTCGAAGAAACCCGCTGGCCATTTGGGCCCGCGGCCGTCTGCGGCGCTGCGCACTTCCCATGGCAACCTGGAGATCCCAACTCCAATTTGGGGCCGGAGCGCCCAAGCAAAGAGTTGGGCCCCCCGTTTCCCCGTTTTTTTCCCCATGACCCATGCCCAAATTTGGACCCAACTCCAATCCGCCAGTTGACGTGCAACTGGCAAGTCACACCAAGGCAGCCTGGAAGAATCTGGAAGACCTCGAAGGCCGGCCCTATTGGCATGCCTTTGGAAAGACGCTTGAACCCTTTTGGGTAAGCCTGGTGCTGTATGCATCCCTTGAGCTATGGACGGATTTCAAACAAGACCTTCAAGTAAGCCGGAACATTGCAAGAGGTCCAAGTGGTCTTGGCATATTCACAAGACCTGGAAAGCAATCCTTCTGGATGTTCTCCTGAACTCAGGAGCCTCTTCAAATGAAGGCCTCCCGAAATGACCTCCGGAGCGATGCTGGTGTTCAGGGTTGGATGTTTTGTCTTTTGGCTGCATCACCTCCCAGGTCGCAAACACATTTCTGCCCAACTCCTATCTTGGCCAAGCTCGCGGCTCCAAAGCTTATGGCTCTCGTGGTGCTGTTGGACAAAGGATTGGTGCCTCTTCGGGCGGAAGATTCTTGCAACACTCCCACCCCTGA